TTGTATAGTGGATGCGAGTCAATCAGCCGTTTGAAATGATGTTCGAAAAATGGACGGACGGTCGCTGATTTATTGGGATTGGGGCAGTTGAAATCACACATAAGGAGAACATGGGTAAATTTTTGTGTAAGAATATGTGACATAGTAAAAGCGTCTCATTAGCCGTTTCCGGGGGTGGTGGTGGTAGTGGTGGTGGTGGTGGTGATGGCGGTATAAACGATTACATGGGAAAATGGCCATTGTGGAGAAAGCAACGTGTGGAAAACCTACAGACCTTCCGGTACATTTAGGCTAGTGTGACATCAGAGTACCCAAAGGATCATTGATGTAGTCTAGAAAACTGAGAAGGTAACCAGCAATTTGGATTTGTGGCGCAAAGCACAGTACATCTACAAACGAGGTGGATGAATGTTGGGATAGACTAAGCAATGTGCGAGGTGTGAAAAAGTGACCACGATATTTTTATAGCCGACTATACAGTTCGATCCAACATTGTTCAGCTCTCCTCAGTTCTCACAGGACGAATTGTGCGTCTGAACAGCCACGTGTTCAGCTCGTTTATGTTGTCAGAAGCTTCTTTGGCATCGAACCCTTTGCCCCAATTTAACTCTTCTCAAAGTCAGTGTTGGTGTGTAGCATCAGAGAACCCCCTTACAACCGAAAGCGGATCATTTCACGTTCCGTTTCAGGGAACGCTGTTGCCATTCGAAGAATTCACTACTCCGAGAGTTCAATACTGCTAACGGCAATCTATTCCACGCTGGTCTCATGACCAACCTACGGCGTAGACTTAATCTCAAAAGGGTTTATATATTAGTCACAGATGCTGATCTGTCTGGAATGGAGCTACCGAGGAAGTGGGGAGGGGTTTCAAACGCCAAGTCAGAGAAAACGCATTTTCACAATCGTGAATGCATCCAATAAGAACATTCAAATTATGGACACGTGGGAAATGTAATGCATGTCTTTAAAAACCGAAATCCACCGCGAATGTTTTTTTTGAATCCATTCAACTCAGACCCCCCCCCAAGGTGTTTTGACCATTTTCATCTCCGGGAACAATTTTCTGTTCATCCGAAATTGATGAGATAATTTACTAAAACCCGTGTATCAATGTAATATCTAATCTAGGCCTAATATAGTGAAACCAAGTGAACTGGAATTTCTGATCATCTTTGCCCAGTTTTTTGACGAAAAATTCACCTTCTTCAATTTATTCTTGATACATTCCAGAGTGTTATTGATCGAAGATTGTTTTGGGGGTCATTCAAAAGTTCAAAATTCACCCACATTCGTCTTTTGGAATATGGGAACTGAGATAAGAACGGAACTGCCAGCCCTTGAATAACGAATCAAACTGATCTGGCACTGTTTTGATCAACCGCTTTGGGTAGAGAAGTGAGAACGTGAAACGAGTATCATACACCCTCTACATGCATCTAAATGTGTGATCCGTTAGAAAAGCAGGTAATATTTTGATTCACCCAAAAAATACAACACCGCAGCTCTGTTTTAGTGCATCATTTTTTCCGCATTAATTAAATCCCTATGTACGGTAGGTTACCGAAGAGTATACACCAAATGCGTGTGCCACGCCCAATTACTATCGTAATGTTTGTCAATTTTAGCATCAAATTAATTTCAGACTATGAATATTGGCTGTTTGTGACAAATAAAAAGCAATCAGTCTCATTGTGGTAACCAATTTCTGGGCTACTTTCACATCGTTGTGTGTTTGTCATGATAAACTGATCTCAGCCTGTTCATACGCCTACAGATAAAAAGTTGCTTATTCCTACCTATTTTGTACATCGGGATTAAAGGAAAAGAGCTTTGACAATGAGCACTCGGTACATGTTTTCATGTTTGTTTGATACGGTGGTGGTATAGATCAATATCAGATTCATCAGCATATCACGTGATCGAATCTCACCATCATTGTGTGTTGCCTCCAGGCCTCGTCTTGTTTTTATTTTTCTCGCTGCTTTTATTTTTCCCCAGAACATTGACCTAGTCTAAATAGAAGATAAACCACAAAATAGAAAATATAAAACAAAAAGCGCCTCTAACTTCTTTCGTCCAAGTCTTCACATCACAACATTGCCGGTGTTCCGGACCAATCACAATCCACGTAGTTCCAATTGAAAATATATGCCCAAAAGAACGAACTACGATTGACCAATGCTGCTATGATTAACGATGTTCTTTTGTACCTGGTAATCAATTAGGTCACCACTATTTCGTTGACCTTTGTACTAAATAATTGAAACCCCCGGTAAACGATTATCAGCACCGTTTCGTGTTTTGATGGTGCTGGCAATTGCGATTCCTATGTTTGATTTACTTCTATCATGATTTCTGCAATATGTAAGCATGTCACTGCTAAGTTGACGCGAATCTGAAAAAGCGCGCACACGCACACGGGCAAGGGGAGAAGTGAATGTGATAGCCATCATGAGGTCACGTGATGGAAAACGTTCAGCGCAGTCATCTCGCTTGGGCTTGACGATAATAGTCCCCCGAAAATGTCCACGTTGAAGTACCGGAACCATTTCGCTTTTGATGCACAGACGTGATTTCAACAGGTCAATGCAAAAAGATTTTCTAGATTACCAGTCCACGAAAAGTAAAATATCTTGAGTTGTAAGAAGGAAACCTGTAGACTGCTTTGAGAGCTGAATTGTCTTCTGTCGAATTTCCAGTTCTCAAGCACACCCAATACTGTGCAGATGCATACGGTCACACTACAGAACTAAGAACATTACACCGGAAGGTAAAGCTCGGAATAAATGCCATCCAATCATAGCTGCAGATAAACAGATATGATATGGAAACTAAAATGTATTTCTTAATTGAGAATCGTGCCTTACGAGTTCGATCAATACCTGTATATACATGTTGGTATCTAACCCAACTCAGAGTAATGACTCATAAATGGATCGGTTTTCAACGACTTGCCTAAAGGAATACACCCGGAGTTGAAAACTAGATTTGTGTCAAAAATACACGTCCTTGATACATTTGTTAAGCTGGTTTCATCAAAAACTTACCGTACACGAGTGCATGAAGAGCAGTGGGATGGGCGGAACCGGTTCTGTGCTTCTCGTGAAATTTTATCGATTCATTCAGATGTAACGTATTGTAATGTATATATACATGAAAAATTATTCGTCTTAACTGTATTCAGAGCAAACGTTTTTGGTGCTGAACGCTACGCAATGCACTAATCTGCTGTATTGACTCGCAAGTGACACAACACCGTGACTTTTTTAAATGCGTGCCATTCCAAACAAGCGATTGACACATAAAATTCACTGAATTGCACCGTACTAGCGCGAATCGAGTGGAAGAAAAAAAAAGAACGGAGAAAAAAAGATTTTTTGATAGTTTAACTACCATATTCCGGCTGTGTTCACACTACCATCAACCATGCAGAGTATTTTATCTATGCAACACTAATGGTCTAAGACGGAGCTGAAATCTACTCGTTCGAGCCGTTCCATTAACATGAACTCAATAATTGAAATTTTCGTTGATATGACACAAAACATTCTGGATCATCCGGAGTAATAGAAGTATTGCTCATTTCTGTCGAAAATCGTGACAGGCGAATGATTTCCCAATGCGTAGACATGCTTCCAGAGCGCCCACGGGTTCAATGTTCGAACCCCATAGCTGACACTCATTTGTTCTCCTTGTTCATGCTGTCTCGCCCTTTCTTATTCTGTCACAGTATGGTTAATAGAAATCGGTAATTGTTTTTGTTGAATGCAGCCAATAAAGTTTGCCAAAATATGCCTAACTGTAGTTATTTCTCTCATTTGTCAAGATTTACTCGTTAATTCATTTACGAATTAAGTGGTTCTGTATTCATTTCTCTTTTAGAGGGGCAAGTAAATCCCAATGTAAAGTGCACTGCTTGTTTTCATCTTATTATACGTAAAGCTGGCTGATTTGGTGGTCAATATTTGATAAAAAAAGATGTGAGTTAGGCTCATCTCAACCTACGCGGGCACTCGCCTACAGAGAACAACCTTGTTTGTCAATCAGCTGGACTGAAGATAGTCATTCTTCGCAAAATCACGCGATAATCGGATTCTACTGGTATTGTAATATGTGATTGGTAACTTCATCAAACGTCATTTCATACTGTCTTATGAGATAGCAATGACATATTTAATGGGAACCACCAAATCGTGTGCAAATTTACATGAGTCAGTACAAATAGCTTGAATCTCTGCTGTGGATAAATAGGTTAAAGTGTTGATATCGCAGCTTATGCTGGATAAAGGAAAACATTCTTGAAAGTGCTTCTAGATCCATATTGGAATTCGAACTGGTGCTATAAACTGTTTTGATAAATTTATGATATGAGAGGAGAAAATTTAGTATAATTAAAGGCATTTGGAGTACGTGGTAATAAATAAGCAATAAATACGTCGAGATTTAGATAATCTACAGTAAGGCAAATTGCTTCGGATACAATGATACACCTGTTACAATAAAGACAATATTGATCAATCTATACCTTCTGGGATGAATTATCATTCCGCTGGAGTAATATAAATAAGTTATAAATTAGACCAGTTATTGGTTATGCAGATAGATAGATAGATAGATAGATAGATAGATAGATAGATAGATAGATAGATAGATAGACATAGATAGATAGATAGATAGATAGATAGATAGATAGATAGATAGATAGATAGATAGATGGTTGATTGATTGATTGATTGATTGATTCATTCATTTATTACGCTTACAAGGCACAATTCTTCAGTCATGAGGATTGTTGCCACCAACATCACTATTACCATAACTAACGACCAGTGCCCCACAGCAGATGGAGTCATATATATGTCACTGAACCTGGAGACTTAATATAACCCCCGTAGAGCTTTAATCGTCTCGAATGATAAACATGTCAGTGATAATTTACGAGTAACAATATATATAAATATATATATATATATAAATATAAAAATCTGCTTCAGAGGAATAGGATCGAAAGATGGCGAGAGAGAGAGAGAAAGTAACCGACCGAAAAATTCAAAAGAATTCGGAATTCCAAATTATCATTTAAATAAATGCATCAATGTTTTGGTCAGTGTGTAAATAAACATAACTATGCTACGCAGTTGTGATTTTTGATTCATCAGACTTACAGAGTCAATCATTTTGTCCTGTATTCATTCCTCTTACATCTCTCCTGGTTTGTTAAACAAATATAGCTAGCGCATTCAGTTTCTGAGTTAATTGATTTAAACCTGATTAGCCACTAATACCTGCCAGTATCTGTGTCGTACCGTTGTGCTAACCACGCTCAGCGTGATATATCGTCTCCGTTCACCACCGTCATTCATTCCTTCACAATCTCTTTTTCATTGCTACTCTAAACAGCTGTTTGGCAATGAAGATTTTACACATCGATGAGTTTCACGTATTCGGATCCAAGCACGGCAGTTGAAATGCCCCCCCCACACGCGAGAACCGTTACAATAACACTTCAGATTCATTCCGAGATAAAACAGAAAAATATGAATAATGCTAGATCTTGAGTATGTCGGTGTGAAGAAGTCGGTAATCAGAACTGTTCAGTTCAGGCCAAAAAATGTGCCAGCTGCACTTGGCTCTAAAACCCATCGGTGGTGTGATCCAGAATACGAATTTCTTTTTTTTTCAATCTCCATTTGATTGCCTATTTAGTATATGAGAAACGGAAAATGAGGATTCCAGTTCTACCCTGTGATTGATGCTTTTTGTTGTGGACTAGATGCTATCGAATCAATGCAATCAATAACCCCGTACGTGTACTTTGAACACTCTTTTCTTACCACGTGATAATTCTCTCCCACATCACTTATTTTACTGTCTGTTCAGTCACATGAACCAAAGTGAAAAAGCGTATTGACTGAGGTTGACTAAGCAGACTGTCATATTAGACAAATACTCATGCTCAATCACCTTGTGTGTATCTGGCTTCAAGCTCGTGATCCACACAGAGTTTATCATCCTTAACCGACCTGATATTGATGGTGATGTACCTTTATTAGTTCTTTTTTTATTTGTCACATCCCAGAA